TTTAATGCTCTTTGGATTAACATGTCTTTTTCTTAGTGTGTATTTAGTAGAAATTTGCTTAGCAAATTGCGGTTAAAAAGACGCCCAACGCTCACTTGTCATTGTGACCTTGCTGAAAGAATAAACGAGGAGTCCAATTCAGTATCTTGCTGTTTGAAAGTGTTGCTCTTGCTGTTATACGCTGAGAGGTCCTCTTGAAACATCATCTAGACTCTGATCTCTGCCATGTGCTCCCTCAGATAGAGTGAGCTTCTGTTACTTGGAAAGTTCATGCAGCTTTCTCTGGTGAGAACAGTGCTTGAAAGACAATAAAAGGCAAGAGAAACAGTATGTTTGCCTTTCCAGTAGTTATTTATGGAGGTGGATTTATGGAGGAGGGGGAAAGGAACAAGAACCGTTTTAAACATTTCTCTTTGTAAGTGCAGAGGAAGATATTTCAGATGTCAGCAAGTTGTTTCAGATAGTAATCTTGGATTAACTACTTGCAAGTATTATCTGTCTATACAGACACATACAAAATAATTAGTGTTATCTATAAATACATACAAATATATAAATTTGTAGTTATTTGGTTTATTTCATGTGCACTCCATAGGAAAGGTTTCATTTTCTGGGCAGAAAGCTTAATTAATCATGCAAAAATACTCAAGCCTGCTTAAAGCAGTGAGTCTATACGTCTCCTTTTCAAGATCTTAGCAAGCAGTCTTGAATCCATCATGAATTGCCACTTGTGATGACAACATCTGTTTTGATTTATTTGCTGATCATTGCTTTCTTATCTTGCATTCCTTTAAAAGGCAGTAGCTGAGGCAGTAGCAAAGGCTACCTGTTTACCTCGCACAGCTGCTGTGGTCTCGACTAGGTTGGAAGCTTTTGAAGGGAGGGTTGATTGCCTAGTAGCTTTCAGAGAAGGAACATACTAATCTGGGAGAGTTTTCCAGAGCATAGATGTGGCAAACAAAAGAGAGAGCAACTGGACTGGTGTGAGTTGGGAACAGTAATAAAAATCAAAAAGACCCCCAAACCTTTTAATACAGAAGAGGCTGATGAGAACAGCAGGGAATATATTCAAAGTCTGACCACAAGACAGGTAGGAAAAAAAAAAAACCCTCTTCCTGAGGATCCTAGCTTATGACCTAGTATTTCTTTCCATTTAGTTGTACAAGAGAATCAAGACCACCTGCTCCATGAAGGCACCCAGATTAAGAGAATGTGTATGGATGTGTACTTTCAGTGTGTGTATCTCTCACCATTGGATTTGAGATGAGTGTGTGATGACTAGAATCCTAACCGCAGGTATGTTTCTAGATTAGGATGGGATAAAAGCCAATTAAGCAGTGTTTCCTTGTTTTTCAGGTATCCAATCCATCAAGTTTTAGATTCCAGAGAAAGAATATTTGTCTAGATGGAGCAATAATCTGATCTTGTGTAGCAAATCTAGTTCAGTAATCATTCCCTTCGCTGACTCAGTAAGGTACTCAAGAACAAATATAAATAATGTGATTCTTTCAGAGTTATTGATTGCAATTATGTGAATGATGATGAACAGCATTAGCACCACCGTAGCAGAATGACAGTGCTCCTCAACCTCCCCTCAGTCAAATGGCATGGCTCGGTAAACTAGTGCGCAAACTTAACACAAAGATGAATAGGTGTTATGAATTAGTCTTGAAGTATCTATTTTATCTTTATAATGAATGACTTTGTGCATCTTCTTCCTGAGATATGAAAAAAAAAAAAGTTTTCTGAATGGAAGAATGACTTCATTTATTATTCTAATACTTCTGTGACAAATTATACAACACACAGAAATGTGTATGAGTTGGTGCTAATTTTTTTTTTTTTTTTTTTTAAGAAAGTGATGGAGCTTACTACCAGAAATAATCTTCTATAAATGTATGGAAATACTGATAGAATATTGATCATGGAGGCATTGATTTGTAGAAAAAATTAACAAGCAAAATTACCAGCAATGTAACATACCTTTCTGAGATGTACCTTTCACTGAGTTTTCTTGAACATGTCTGTGCGTCATCTCACACTGTCCAAAGAAGACAAAGTGAGCTGTGAATGTACTGGCTCAGGAGGTGGGTCGATCATCTGTAGGGAACTGTGCCTCAGGTGTGTAGTCTTGAGCAAAGCGTATCGACATATCACATCACTGATATGTTTATAATGCATTTGTGTCCCACACGTGTTCAGGAATAGAGCTGGCAGTGCTGTGGCCAGTTAAGAACCAGCTCTTGGGACACACTGCATTGTACAGTACAAACATAATTCTGACTCAGCAGGTGTATATCAGATACCACCACTTTATCCCCTAGGGGTGCGTGAGTAAGATACTTGGTATTGTTTTGAGGAAAAGGGTAGGTTTTTCTCTCTACTTCTTTTTAACTTCTTTTGTTTGAGTTGAAGTCAACAGCTCTTTTAGCTAAAGTACTATTTTTCTTCAGTCTTTGTCTGGCTTAAAACACAGCATGCGAAAGAGCAAAGCTCAGTCATGTAAAAAGAAGTTGTAGGAGCCAGAATAATGCATCTAAATAGTTTGTCTCTCTCATTCGCTCAATAAACTCTACAGAGTGTTTTTAGCAAGTGAAAAGGTAGTGTAGTGCTAACCTTACAAATCAGTCCTGTTAAAGCTCACATCAGTTTTAATATTTTTTAACCCAAGCTTTGTTTGGCCACTGCTCAGCATGCAGTCTCTGAATGTGAATAACTTTATGGCTGTTGAAGAATGTGTTGAGCATCATTACCAGGGTTAATGGCCCTAAAAGGGGGCTTCACTTCTTGCGAGTACAGTGTGAGAGTCTTTTTTGGAGGACAGAAACTATTGAAGATCAGAATGTATCAAGAGGAGGAAACTGAAGAAATATTAGTCTAGTAGATATGGGAAGCTGGTATTTGAAAAGGAAGTGCCTTCAGAACATTCACAGTATTTTCTCACAGTCTGCAAAATAATCTAAACCAGAAAAATTGTTCCTCTTAAATACAGGACCATAGGCTTCTGTGAATTTTATTTGGAATTCAATCTCAAAAGACTAGACATTTTTCAAAATTATTTTCATACAGATGTAATTGTATTATAATCTCATGATGATTTAGGCATTTCTGAGCCAGGGATATTGTCAGCTTCTTATTGCTGTTAGCACTGTTTTATACATAAATACAAAAATTACACTCTGAATTGGGATACTCTCTTATTGGGTCCTGTGTAAAGCTCCAGAACTAGCACAGATAAAATGTTATGATTATGGATCTGGCAAAATATGTTCATTTCACGAGTCCCACCTCCTCTGCTTAACCTTTCTTAATGGATACGTTTTCTTATATTCTTATTACTGTCCCTCTCCAGAAAACATACAATGGCATTAAAAGACACAGGCAAAATGTTAGATCTAGGAATAGCCTAACTTAACTTTAAACTGGATACTTCCCTAGAGCTTCTGCCAGGGCTGTCAAAGGACAAGACAAGTTTCTCAGCACTCAGACGCAGAGACATGCAATGAGGGAGTATGTTAATGAGAGGCTTGTAGTCCCTCTGCAGTCTCCCGTCGCTACGCCTGCATGTGATTCTACATGGCACCTCGTACATTGTACATTAAATACAAAATACAATAAAGGACCTTAGGATATTCTAGCTAAACACAGCAATATGTTTAGGTCCTGGCATCTAATATTAAAATCAAAACCCAGAATAAGATTCATGGACAAGGAAAGATTTCAGCCTTCCAAAAGGAGATACCATATATTATGATGTTGAATTTAGTTGCCTAGAGCTAACCAGAGTTTGGCAGAAGGCTTGAGGTGAAGTTTTGTTCCTCTTCAGGAGGTAGGTAAATGCAGTGGATGCATCTCTGGATATTTGTGCGTCAGGGTTCATTTCGAAGAGTATGTTTAAAAGAACTGCTTGTAGCTAGTACGTTTTAGAATGGCGTGATACTCATGCACTGTCACATCCTCCTGCTGATCTCTGAAATAAATTTGGCCATAGTTTCTGTGTACTGAACTCATTGCTGTTGGTGAACAGTAAATGTATTCAAAGTAGGCTTACTGAATCAAGCATCTCAGTCCACCAAGGTGCACCTCTACACCTGTTTTTATACCAGATGGGGATTAGATGGGCACTAGCTTCCTAGCTTTTCTGAGAGGGGCAGTTCAGGTCATGCATAAAGAGCAAAACTAGAGGCACTCTACAGAAGCAGGGATTATTTTAGGATGTATGTCTCAGGAGTTACAGTGATGTAGAGAAAGATTTTTCTTTTCAGTTTGATTTCTGTATTATTATACCAGATTCAGGAACGTAGGTTTAAAATAATTCCTGTATTAAGCATCTGTACACTTTTGAGGCTTGGGGGTTTGTTTTGCATTGTTCTGCTTTTTTTCAGTCCACGCCTGGGTATCAGTTTGTTGTTTCCTTGTGACAGCAAGTATGTAACCTAACTGCTTGCTTTCTTACAGTATAAGAAGAGGATAAGATCTCGTACAAATAATATATTAGGATTGCCTGGTGTTAAAAAGAGTGGTCAACCTAAAGGATATAATTCTAGGGAATTGACCAAAGCCTTATGTTATGTAGATGATATTACTGTTTACAAAAGTAGGATGGTTGCAGAAGGTAGTAGTATATTCTTCGATTATTGTGTTTACACTTCTTCTGAAGACTAAATCATAACGTATTTAATACAATGTCTGATTGCTGCCTAGCTCAGAATGAAATCTGTGTGGATATTTTTTCTCCCTCTAGCAAAAAATTCAGCTGCTTTGGGAAGAATAATTGCAAAGACAACTGCCATTTCAGAAATAAAGTCATAATACTTAGGGGTTTTTGCTTCTTTGAGGGGCTTGGAATGAGTTAATTGGATCAGTGAATTAAGTTCTAATAATAGGCAAAACTTAAGAACAATTTGAAGAGTTTTTCAATCTCTGAACAAAATTCAATACACATTTGAAGGAGGAAATCAATGTGGAATCCTAAAAGGCTTCTTATTTGTTTCTCACAGAATTCTGCCTTTCTCTCTGAAGCTCTTTTTCGTGTACATACAACAAAAACTGAAGAGCTGGATCCCTCCTTCAGCCTGCACGAGACCATTGCAAAGGTAATAGAAGTGGAGATCTCATTTACACGTAATTTCTTTCACATGGCCAAATCTAATTTTGTTACTAATTTTTAAAAGTAATCTATTTTTTTCCTGTGAATACTTTGAATGTAGTTAAAGTTGTGGAGTTTTTTTCACTGAAATTCACCTTCGGAATATTCTTTACTGTTACATTGGCCAACTTGTGTGTTCAAAACACTTTGACATGCAAATGCTTCATTTTATGTGATTTAATTATATTTTGCATGATTCACATTAAACTTCTTGGCATGAGTGCAGGGCATTGAGCCACACTAGGTGGCAGGAAGTAGCAAATTTGTTGCTATCAGCTTTGCCAGTGAAGAGGGCTCTCTGAGGGCACCTTCACATGCACAGATACTTGGTTTTACGAGCTGTCACAGTGTGCTCACATGGGAGGATGGGATGACCATCCCATGAGTCTGGAGAGTGCTCTACAGAGGGGATGCTCTCAACGTTAATGTGTTCTAACTCCCTTCTTGTTGCTTCTGTGTAATACTCCCTCCATGTTATCTATTAATACGGTCACTCCTTGCTGTAAAGTGCTCTTCACTGTGTCCACTCAGCAAGCCCTATTTCTACCAAGAGACATGACTACAAATGAGTCCAACTTAATGGATTCATACATGTCTTATAATTAGATTTCTTATGAACCAGAGCTATGTAAACCTTACAAACAGATTTCTTTGTTTATTCAGAGCTACTTCTTTTGGAAAAGCAGCTGCTGTTGAAACATTTCTTTTGGCAACAACAAAAATAAATTCACAAAGATCAGCAATATGCAGATTTAGCGTGTAGACATATCAGAGTCTTTGGCAAAATAGACAGTGACTGATCTTGAGGGTTTTAGGGGGATTTTGTTTGTTTGTTTGCTTGGATTTTTTTTTTTAAAAAAAAAAAAAAGAAGCACATATTCCTAGACATGGTTTTGAAGCTTGGCAGACTCTGACAGTTAAGGAACAATCACAAGACAAGAGTCTTCTCCAAAGTCCTTTTAATGGAATTGATGGATTTTAAGCTGTCTTTGATGCCAAAGTGACTGAAAAGATTCACCAAATTTCTTCCCAAAGACTGAGGGATGTAGATATGTGATTATTTACTGCATAATTAATTTGTGATTTACTAATTAGTGTGTGATGGGCCATGTGTAATCTGAATAATCTGCATTTTAGTATTTGCTCTATAATGTTAACTAACACAGAAAAATATTTATTAGTTGACTTGAAGCATTTTGATACTGTTCAAATCGTTACAAATTATTTTAAGTAGGTTCATTGAGCATTACAATTTTCTTTGATATGATTACATATGATTACAATTTTGCTTTTCAGACCGTAGCCCAGGATGCTTTTATAAAGATGAATAATATATGCAGCAGTGGAGTGAGACCTTCAGCTGGTCATTTTGTCATCTTTAGCTTAGCTTAATTGATCTTAAAGTAGTTTCTGAATTGTTTGAACAGCAAAGTTTTCTAAATTTCATCTGTTGTTTACACTTCTTTATAGGCAGGTAACACTGTTGTTACCTCTTTGTTCCCTCCATTCCCCTGCTCAAACTTTTTCTGAGAGGTAACTAAGGCAGCCATCATCTTTCCCTTCTCCGAAGGATGGACTTACCTTTGGCCCACCCTTTATCCTAGTGTTTGTCATCTATTCCAATTTGAAAGCATTTTCTTTGGGTGAGTGTCTAGAAATGTATGTAGTGCTTTATATAAGGCTGCATTATGTCTTTGTGTGGTAACGTTTATCTAGCTTCGTATCTCAAATGATGTCATATCACGTTTTCCTTGGTAAGATCTGTCAGCCCTACATTTGATTCGAGTGGCTTCATGTTAGCGTAGACGAGCTGCTGCATATGTTGTCTGAATTCTGAAGAGTCATCTCATTTTAGAAATTTTTAAACTAACACTGGTTTCCATGCATTGGGCAACCTGTAAGGTTGCTGGGGCTTTGTTGTTGCGTTTTCCTGTCTCCATTATCAAAAGTGTAAATATGCCCTCTCTATACCGCACACAGACCAGTTCTCAGTGTGAGCCTTTAAGGGGGAAAAAGCTGAGTGAAGTTTTGAAAATAAATAAAAAAACAAATATCAGTTTAGCTTTAAAGAAAACATCTATAATTTCTAAAATAAAGGAAATTTGAGTCACATGGAGATACAAATCTTTTAAAGAATTCCTATTCTACACCATCCCATGGTCGATCAGTTATCCATGGTCAATGTATGAGTAGGCAGTAGAATTCTTTGTGTTATGCTGTGCACGTGAATGATACATGGTGCTTGGTGCTTTGACATTTTTTGGTTCTGGTAAAAAGCGGATTATTTAAAATATTTTTTGCATTTATCAGTTGCTGTATACACCTGACGGTTGTCTTTGAGCTAGTATAGTTAAAAATAAATAAGATACGTTTTGATTTCAGTGAAAGAGAGAAGTGGGTAAAAATACAGAATACTTTTGTCACTTGGATATGAGATTTGAAGGAAATGCTATAATTTGTTTAGATAACTAAGCACTCTTAAAGCTATTCCTTAGTCTGAAATCATCCTGTTTTCATTGTGGTAATCTGAAGAGATGGGAGTAAGTTATATCTTCAAAATATTAGAAATCTACTCATATTTGCAAAACTACTCATATTTGAAAGAAAAAAATCCATAGTGAGAAGTTAGTTTATAGTTAGAACTTATACTCCTTGGTTGAAGTTTATGCTTCTCAACAGGTACATGCCAACCGACTTTTTTTGCTCCATTGCAATTGCAAGTAAAACAGATACCATAACTGCTTCAGAAATGTTAATGTTTATTATCAAAAGGCTTTTCACACAAAGCTGGTGTTTATATTAAAATAAATATTCAAATATGACAAATTCAACATTTAATAATTTTCCTTGGCTTTTTTCCTCAGAAGTAGTTTATAAAAATATTTAAAACTGTAACATCTTATACTTATTTGAGACCAAACATGTTTGAAAATGCACAATGAAAATGCCATATTCCAACCTACTTGATTCAGATACATATCTGGTTATTTTACCACTGTTTATCTAAATATTAAATATTAAAATTCTTGCTTACAGAACTAGAGTAGTACAAAAAAAACACTGTTAACCAGCTATAATGGCTTTAAAGAGTATGAAAATCTTTGTATAGAAGTTCAAATTGTAGGAAGTTCAAGTTGAGGAAAGCCCTACAAGGTTTTGGAGATAGAAATCTTGGAAAATAAATCCAAAATGTTGTAGATCTGTAATTGATAGCTTTGGTATGAGAAATAATAGTATTTACTTTTCAATACCAGCTGCTTTCCTTTCTAAACTCTGTTGTGTCTGACTGTAGTAACCAGTTTGAGCTGTCCTCATAGGTAAGTCATTCCTGCCTAATCACACTTTACCTCCATACTTAGAGAGTTCTGTGGCATCTCTTTTGCTTTAAGGTAATTACAACTATGTACCACGTTCAACATATCGAATCGCTGTGGCTGCGTAGGCTCTATATGATTTCTTCTCTAATCCTTCCTGAATAATCTTCAACATTCTGTTGGTCTTTTAGACTGCTGTTATCCATTAACTGTTCACGATGACACGAATATTTCTTTCTTCAGTGGTACGAGCTCATACATACGTCCTGATTGTCTGTGTATTCTTATAGGCTGTTTTCTCCCATGTGCATCACTTCATATTTTCCAACAATGGTCCTGCCATTTTTAGCCCAGTGGTCAAATACTGTGGGATGTAGGAAGAAGGACACAATGAGTATGTTTCAGCGTTGGTAGGAAAAATGTTGCTTAGTGTTCAATTTGATGAAACTCATTTGCCACTACTTATCACTCTCCATGTACTTTGCTTGTATGGCCACTGAAGCTGGTGGAAAAGCTTATGCTGTTTTTGGCAGGAAATTGAGGCCCTTCATCTATCTGTGGGAAATAGGGCTTTAATGACTTTTTTTCCTGTGCGAATAGCTCGATACTAAGTAACAATGGAAGAATTTCAACATAAATTTTTACGTGAGGTTCGATGTAAGAAGAAATAATCAGCTAATTGTGGCTTATGCTCTGTGAAGACAGTAGTTACCTTGATTTCATGAACACTTTGAAAAGGAGGAGGTTGCTGAATGTGGCAGGTAAAGTGAATGAGAAATGTGCAGCTCTTAAGGAGATATATCTGTAACCTGAGTGCTTAGAAAATCTGATTTCTCACAACCCTTGTCAGATGAATTTAACTTAGTTCTTGGCACTTTAAAGGTGGATCTAGGCTAGGTTCCTGCAAGGCCCAGACTGATCTGAAAGTTTCAGAGAAGAAAGAGAAATATGTGGGCTTCCTAGTGGTGAAGTACCAAGACATTCATCACAGCAGCGTGTTGCAGTACAAAATTTAGTGGTATCTTAAGTGAGATTTGCAGACCTTGTAATTTCAAGTGTGTTTTGTAATACATACATCAAATATTAAAATGGAGAAATGTGTGACAGATAATGGATTTTCCTATCAGACCAGAAGTCAGGTGAAACTCCAGCGTTATCAAATGCATACTTAGAAAAGTATATGCTATTTTTCAGTAAGTTTCATCATCATTATTCAGCACAGTGTTTCATGGTAAATAGTCAATTGGAGTTATTAACAAGTTTGAAAATACTTTGTGTTATGAGGTGTGCTCACTAGAGTAGACTAATAAGACTGGGATTATGCAGTTCTAAAAGCTTTAATGGCAGTCCCCCAACAGGCAGTGCCACTGGAGCCACTTACCCAGTCTCAGCCACGGAATAATAATAATCTTTTATTGATTTTTACTTTGGCAGGCACCAAAGTGTTGAAAGGTATGCCAGAAGTGACATAATTGGTTTTATGATGAGTTATGGGTGCTGACAGATAACTCTTGAGAAAATTATTAGTGATCCTGATTATTCTACAGTTCAATTATGGAGCTACATAAAGTAGAACTAACTGCCATAATGCAATGAACTTCTAAACATTAAACAGCAATAGGCAGGAGTATTT